AGTAAGTTTTGAGCAAATATATAATTTCAATCTGTAACACTCAAACGCAGCACTCCAAAAACTCCTTAGTGTACTTTTTTTTTTCAAAATGTAGCACTCTAAAAAAACTAATTAGTGCACTTTTTCTAAATGTAACACTTTAAAAAAACTTCTTAGTTTAACATTTCAATATAACACAATTTTTTTTTTACTATACTTTTTCCAAACGTAATAATCCAATGTAACACTCTAAAAAAAGATGTGAGATTTTTCAAACTATTTTAAAAGGAGTACAAAAATTCCTTAATAAACTTTGGGTAAATGTATAATTTCAAATTATGAGTATTACGTTTGGAAAAAGTATACTAAGTAGCTTTGTAGTGTGTTACATTAGAGTGTTATGCTTGAGATTACATTGATTAGAGTGTTACGTTTGGAAAAAAATACACTAAGGAGTTTTTTTGTGTGTTATATTGGAGTGTTACGTTTTTATTTGTAATGTGAGATTTATTCCCGAAGGAGGAAAAATCTAAAACCTCTATAGTGCAAATTGCCTAAATGTATAATTTTACATTTGGAGAAACCCAACTTTATCCTTTAAAAATTAAATTCAAACGTGTAAGTGACTATCTTTTTATGTAATTTCTACTTTAATGGGACTTTTGGGTTCATAAGAAAAAATAGAGGATTAAATAGTTCACAAGATCATATTTTGGAATTTATTGGTGCGTCACCCAAAAATTGGGTAATTTACAAAAAAAATCCAAGGTTTCGCGTGTTTTTCAATTTAAACCTCAAAGTTTCAATTTTGATAAATTAAACCCTGGAGTTTCATCCGTGTTTCAATGTGGACCATCCGTCCATCTCCGTCCATTTCCGTCTCACTTAATTTTTTTTCTTCTTTCAGATTCAAACCGACATGTTCAAATCCTTATATTTCCCTCGCCGTAATTCTGTTTCGCTTCATTTTCGAGTCTTTGGATTCATCTCATAACCTAGTTTTCATTCCACCCCTCATGCACCTTGTTCTACCTTTTTTTGTGTGCCGTCAGAGCTCCAAAAGTGGAACAAATTTTTTTGCTCTCTTTGGGCAAAATTTTCAGATTCAAACCCATATGTTCAAACCCTTGTATCTCCTTTATTGTAACTTTGTTTTGTCTTATTTTCACGTTATTGGATTCACCTCATGGCCTAATTTTTATTTCCTCATACAACTTGTTCCTCTTCTTTTTGCATGTCATAAGAGGTCCAAAAGTTGGCAATATTATTATTATTATTATTATTATTATTATTATTATTCAGTGTGTTTGGTTTGAGTTTTCTGGATTAAATTTTTTGAAAATTGATTTTTTTTGTTTTCGTGTTTTTTTGTTTTTAGTGAATATTTTTTAAATTTTAAACATTTTTTTTACTTTTTTAAATGCACATTACTTAGATATATCTAAAAAGTAAAAAAATTGTGAAAAAATATTTTAAAAAATTAATAAATACGTAAAAATACAAAAAATGCACTGAATTCTTGTATTTTTTTTTTGTATTTTTGGTATTTAGTGAATTTTTAAAAGATTTTTTTTACAATTTTTTTACTTTTCAGGTGTATTTATGTTAGGTGTGTCTAAAAAGTAAAAAAATTACTTAACATATTAAAAAAATTCAGTGAAAACAAAAAAATACGAAAAATAATAAAGTAGAATTTTTTGAAAAGTGGAAACAAGCAAGGTGATTATTATTTTTTATCTCTTTGGGCAAATTTTCAGATTCAAACCCACATTGTGACGACCTTGACCTCCGAACTAATATATTACATTATTTCAATAAGTCTAATTGCATGATTATGTGTTTAATTGTGTGATTACATGCTTAATTTTATAGTTATCTGTTATTACATGGAATATCTTTTCGAATTGGCAACTTAAAGATAGAAATTGAGAGCCAAGACGGCTTCAGAAACTGAAATTGAATAGCTTAATAGACTAATTAGAATATTTAGAATTTTATGATAACTTTAATTGAAAATTGATTCGGATCAAAATAATTACAATAAACTGATTGAAATTAGTTAGTATTGAGCCTAATTACTTAACCTTAATCATACTTGATTAGGCTAGCTAATCACACCATATAAATAGGTCAAATAAGCTTATATGCTCATATATACATCCTTTGGCTGAGATTAGAGAAAAGAACAAGAGGGAACTCAACATCTAGAGAGAGAGAAAGGAGAATTTGATGGAAATTGTGGAGGATTTGGGGATTTAAGCTAGTACATACTTGAATTCAAGCCCTAGGTATGATCTCCAACCTTAATATATGAAGAAGAAACATGTAGGAATTTAATTCATCGAAGTTTTGAGTTCATTTGCATGAAATTGTTAAGTAGAGGCTTTAATCACCTTGAATTTGGAAGATAAGAGTTAATCATGTACATGTATGCATAATTTGAGTTAGAATTCATGAAATTCCTACATGCATGGCACATTTACACCTCAATTTGAAGAGTCCTTCATGTTTTTACACTTCTTGTATGAGAGGGTTCACGAACGTCGTTGGAATATTCGAAGATCTTTGAAGAAGACTCAAATTCCTTCAGATATTGTGAGAGGCTTAGATTCTTCACTAGTCTCAACTAAGAACACAAAAGAAAGGAGATGATGGAGATAAGAGATTGGGTGAAGAAGAAGGCAAAGTAGCTAGAGAGAGAATAATGGCAAGGCTCTCCCATGGATCTCCCACTTTCACTCTCAAGGTTGATAATGGAGATGAGAAATTAGTTCTTTCCCAAGAGTCATCTCTCAAAAATCCATCCCTTGTAAAGTTATGGGTGGGTGCTATTTATAGGCATCTCATGATGTAGGATGGAGCCCATGTACAAGGCACATGGGGAATATTCTCTCTAACCACCTTGTCCGAGGAGGTGACCTCTCCGAGGATGAGGAAAACCCCAAAGAGGAGATCAACCTCTCGGCGAACCCTTCTTTTTAGCCACACCTAACCAATGATCCCCAATCATCTCAAAGGGTCAGGGGTAGTCCCAGAAGACGTCTTGCCACATAAGGGTCAGGGGTAGTTCAAGAGAACGCCCTGTCGCAAATATTGCCGAGTCTCAGGGGCCCTCTAGATCGTGCCACCTCAACCCGAGTATAGGCTAGTTTAACCGAAGAGTGAATTTATCTCCACTCACCGTCCTCGGGATCGGGTCCTTTGTTCGGACTCCATTACGCCCATGGTTCTGGTACGTAGATCCCGGAAAGCTCCGAACCCGCAGGTGTTCTGGGACTCATTAACAGAGCGACTTCTAGATTGCGTCTGAATCCGTTCAAAGTCAAATGCTCCGGATCTCTAGGTTCGTGGATTCGAACCCTTTCGAGTCCGAGTGCCTCGGATCTCTAGGCTTGCTCAATACCCTTCCGAGTTCGGGCCCGAGTAAGTCTTTAAGTTCGTCGATCCGAACCCTTTCGAGGCTTAGAGTGATTCAACCCGTTTGATGGCGATAAATCCGAGCCCACCAATCTTGGACTTGCGATAAATTCGGGCCCACCAACCTTGGACTATTGGGCCTAATTAATTTAGTCGGCTCAAATTAGCTATTCTCACATTTGCCCCTTGCGTGTATGAGAAATTATAGTTTTCTCGGACATGCATAGTTTCACCTTGTCAGCTATGCTTCGCATTACGTCTTCGGAAATATTTGGTCTTCATGTGGCTTTTGGATAAGATTGATGACCCATAATGTACGGATAAGATTTCCAACTAGTAATGATAAGAAAGAATCTTTTATCTTTATGCCATGTTTGGCAAACACACTTCATACTTTTAATTTATTCTCTCAAAGAGAAATCAAAATTTAAATATTTAATAATCCACCCACCAAGAATGATCAAGAATTAAACTCCTCTCTCAAGAAATAGTCTGACTTTTTTTTTTTAGACAAAGATAATAAAAACAAAGCACTCATCTTTTTTTTTTATTATTAAAAAAAGTAAGGCTCAAACATTTTTTTATGGGTTTAGAAATACGGCAGGCCTCTTATATATATATATATATGTTTAGAATATATAAAAGTATATTCTATGCATCACACCCTTTTTTTTTTTATTTAAAGAAAAGGATAGCAACCCTAATCAATCAATAGCCCCTCACTTTTTCTTTGTTGCACAGCCATTTCGGCTCTCTCTCTCTCTCTCCACATAACAGAGAGACCAACCCAGCTCTCTTCTTCTTCAAGAAAGCTCTGCCGTTTGTACAGACCTCTATCACGACTTCAACCAATGCCGCCGACCTGTCCCAGCGTCGCGACCCAGCCGCTGTTTTGTTTCAGTGTCGCGATTGCTGCAGACGTGCAATTCAAGCTACTGCTCACTATCGGTGCTTCACTTCAGCCTAGTGAGCTCAGACATTCGGGAATGCGGGATCTTGGTTTTGCTCCTACAGCCGTTGAAGTCTACCTCTGCTTGTGTATCGATCGTCGTCTCAACCCTCCGAGTGCCGCTGTAACTCCGGGCGACATCGCCGTCACCGAAGACCCACATCAGCTTGCACACCGTTTGTCGCCACAAGTGTGGATACCATCAGCTTAGTAACTCAAGTAACCACCGGTTCACGCCTACACCAGCTCCACTTCATTTCGATGCTTCACGCTCTCCACCTTCAACTTTACCACCGTCTTCAGCCGTGATCTGGCCAACGCCGACCACGCCCGCCCTTTCAACGCGGCGTCGGTCTGCCCAGCTACTCCGTCGCTTGCACACCGCCTGCTGCTGTAGCTTCGTCGTAATACAAACCTTTCTAGTGTTTTCCAATACACTGTCGCCCAAAATATTACCTGCAGATCTACCCATTCCACGCGAGAACCAGATGTGGATCTGTCCTGTGTGCGCGACCAGCTACCTCGCGCGGCCTGTGTGCTTTTCATCTGTCACTTACAGCCTCGCTACCACTTCCAGTCGCGCCTGGCTAGCGCCGACCACGCCGCCCACTCAACGCGGCGCCGGTCTGCCCAACTGCTCTCCTTCCATACTAAAATGGCGGCGAATCAACAACAATTAACGACTCGGCCACGGATCCTCGAAGCTGTGTCTTTAACGGTAGTCATTCTAGTAGCCACTCATGTCTTGGCTCTAGTTTATTGGATTTACAGCTTGGCTACTGAGAAGCAGCCTCAGAGAAGAAAGGAGCACTAGATCCAGTTCAATTTATAGTAACAGAGAAGGGAATCTTCAATTCAACAGTAGTTTTGATGGTATAAATATATTCTTGGAATCTATATTCTTGGCTTTTGGCATGACTAGTGCTTTGCTACCAAGGAAAATAAAGTTCTTGTTGAATCTTGACATGTAAGAGAAATGTAGTCTTGAAATTCATGCTTTGGAATTTGGCCATGTTGAGAAATCTATCATAAATTGAGTATTAATCTGTTGTTTTGTTGATCTTGTGGATGCTTTGGAAATACATAGTTGATGCATGATGCCAAAATTTTGTTTGAACATTTTAGCTTTATATCGGCTTGAGAGGAGCCGGCCCGAAGGGACAAAACCTTGATTGTTGCATTCTCATGAACTTGTTCGGAGGAATAGAATTGTTGTAACTTAAATAGATCATTATTATTTGTTGATGTTGCCCCATTCCGATAATGCATGAATCAGGATATGAAATTGATATTGCTCGTCTCATTTGTCGATTTTACAATTTCAGGCATATAAATTTTTTGTGCAAAATTCACGACCCCGAGGCCCTCAGAATCTTCACTAATGAGAGCGAGAGCTGTCCATCGGAAGTCTGAACGAGAGCAAAATTGTCCCTTAGGAGTCCGAAAGTAGCATACACCCCACTTCGGCAAGAAAGATCTATCTGGAAGGCAACCGAGTCTACCAAGCTTGCACCAATAGAAGTAAAGATTGTCTCTCAGAAGTCCGAGTAGAAGCAAGGTTGTCCCTCAAAAGTTCGAGCGGAAACAAGACTCTCTCTCGGAAGTCTGAATGGATGCGCGCTTCTACTTCGGCAACTAATGGAGGCAAAGGCTATCCTTAGGAGTTCGAGTAAGAGTCCACTCTACTTTGAAAAGAAAGATCCTCGGAGCTCGTATTGATGAAAGCGAGGGCTGTTCTTCGGACCTACACTAATGAGAGCAAGAGTTGTCCCTCGGAAGTCCAAACGGAAGCAAGGCTGTCCCTCGGGAGTTTGAATAGTGGCACACACCCTACTTTGGCAAGAAGATCCCTTCTGATAGGCCATTGAGTCTCGTAGTAGCACACATCCTACTTTGGCAAGAAAGATCTTTAAGGCTTGCACTGATGGAAGCGAGGTCTGTTCTTCGAAAGTCTGAGTAGGAGCACACACTCTACTTCAACAAGAAAGATCCTCGAAGCTCGCACTGATGGAAACGAGATTTGCTCTTCGAAAGTTTGAGTGGGAGCACACAGTCTACTTCAACAAGAAAGATCCTTGAAGCTCGCACTGATGGAAGTAAGGGCTATTCTTCGGAAGTCCGAGTGGGAGCACACATTCTACTTCAGCAAGAAAGACCCTCAAAGCTTGCATTGATGGAAGAAATGATTGTTCTTCGGAGGTCCGAGTGAGTGCAAGAAAGACCCTTGAAGCTTGCATTAAAAGAAGCAATGGCTGCTCTTTGGAGGTCCGAGTGGGAGCACACACTATTTTGGCAACTAATGAAAGCAAAGGTTATCCCTCTTTGAGTGGGAGTACACTTCTACTGCGTCAAGAAAAGTCCCTTCAGGTTGGTAACCGAGTCTACTATTCCTCTTTCTTCTTCGAGGGGCAATAAAAATTGAAAACTGTTTTAAGCAACATAACACAATGAAGATATACAATGTAGAGAAAATAACTTCTAATGAAGATACATAATATAGAGGAAATAACTTTCTTCATAACATAAGAAAGAAAGATAGAAAATTCTTAGACAATGCAGTAAATACAAATTGTAAATGTCATAGATAGACTTCTTCTACGGAATGTTGAAATTTGCCCCTAGAGTTGCAAGATCACTTGGAAAGCTTTCACTAGCTGCTCGGGTTGTGGCCATCTTGCACCATCATAGCCATGTCTTCTAAGATATCCTGGGGCTCCTGTTCTCTGAACCCTATCTCATGTGCTTCGACTTTCTTTCTAAAGATCTTCTTAAGCGTCCAGCATTTTTCTGTAGGATGTCCTAGTGATCGGTGGAAAACACAATAATTAGGACCCTCGTGGTCCTTCTTCGGCAAAAGCTCTTCGACATGAGGCAACTTTAGTTCCCCGTCTGCCACCCATTCTTTAACTAAGGCCTTCACCTCCTCGACACTACACAGAAAAGGAGTGTCATCTTCACAGTTTTTCCTTTTCTGACCCCTGAATTCCTCCCTCTGCGACTTTCGGGTAGAATATGCGGAAGCCGCAGTGACAGAAGGTCCTCGGAATGACTTGAAGCTGGTTTTATAACTAGTCACGAACCTGGTCTCCTAAGATTGAGGTATGTTGATGTTCCGAGATGCTTCAATTAGTGCCGAGAAGGTGGGTAGCTTGTGATTAACAAGAAACATCTTGTACTCGTTCAATGCCTCTTCAACACAGATTTGGACCAAGTAGCCTTCCTCTATAGTCTCATGACAGTCCACGGCTTTGTCTTGGAACCTCTTCACATATTTGAGAATGTCTTCACCTTCTCACTGCTTTTCCTTACATAGGGTAAGTGCGGTTATCTTCTCAGCTGCTTGAAAGAATTTGGTCTGGAATTTGTTGACCATTTCCTCCCAACTCCGAACAGAGTTTGGGGTCAAGTTAACGTACCAACTATATGCTCGGTCGGTGAAGGACTTGGAGAATTCTCTCAGCCGGAGGACGTGGTTTGAACCATGAATACCCAGAGTCTCGATGAACCGAACAACATGTTCTTGAGCATTTCCTTGCTTGCCATTGAATTTGATGAACTTCGGCACCGTGTACCCCTCCGGGTATGGATAACTCAACATCTCGATAGGATATGGTGGCTTGACATCCGGATCAGGCAAAGAGAGTAAAGTTTTCTTGCTCCGTTCTAGCTCGAACATGGCTTGCACATCTGCAAGGATGAGAAATTGTTGAGGGAGAAAACTTGATGGTGGTATTTCCAGAACTTAGCTTGTAGACTCGAAGACTGAACTTGGAGCGACTTGGCCATTTGGGTGCTGAGAATTCATCATCAGTGAAGATGCATGACGATATTGGCCATCGGCACCTATGGACATGCCATTTGGTGATAGGACGTTGTATTGGGTCCCATAAAGTGCATTATACGCCACGGCTATATCAGGTTGGGCTTGCAAACTCGGCATCGAAACCAAAGGAGACCCACTCGGTACATGAGTAGAATTTACAATCGGTGGAACAAAATTAGGCATGGATGGAGCACCACTTTGTAGAGAAATTTCTGTAGGCTTTCTTTGAACTTCCACCGCTGCTGGAACACCATTCATTGCGCCGGAGACTCCTCCTACCACTGATGGACCATGGCTCGATCTTCCAGTTACGTGATTTTGCAATCCATAGGCTACAGGTTGGCCATAACTTGTTCCTCCTAGCACTTGATTTTACACACCATTTTGAGCAACTTCAGGGAGAATTTGGGGTGAATCTTGATGGTTTTGACCATTCCTAACATCACCATGATGTTGTTGATGATTGCCGACGCTGACTTGACCTCAATTTGTTGTCGGTGGTGCGAAATGTGAACCCATCACCAACATGGTGTGGGTGAGATTTTGAAGGGTCGTGAGAATCTCTTCTTGAGTGTGTTGGAGTCCTTGAATGGCTTCAAGGATGATAGGTGGGTCTTGAACTTGACTTCTCTCATCACCACCATTGGAAGAACCTTGTTGATGAGTCTCATTATCTGTCATTTTTGTCGGTGTTGTATGAGTTCCAGATCTCGTTGAGACCATTAACCAATCCGCCTTCCCAGTGGAGTCGCCAAATGTATGAATGGTTCACGAACGTCGTTGGAATATTCGAAGATCTTTGAAGAAGACTCGAATTCCTTTAGAAATTGTGAGAGGCTTAGATTCTTCACTAGTCTCAACTAAGAACACAAAAGAAAGGAGATAATGGAGATAAGAGATTGGGTGAAGAAGAAGGCAAAGTAGCTAGAGAGAGAATAATGGCAAGGCTCTTCCATGGATCTCCCACTTTCACTCTCAAGGTTGATAATGGAGATGGGAAATTAGTTCTTTCCCAAGAGTCATCTCTCAAAAATCCATCCCTTGTAAAGCTACGGGTGGGTGCTATTTATAGGCACCTCATGATGTAGGATAGAGCCCATGTGCAAGGTACATGGGGAATATTCTCTCTAACTACCTTGTCCGAGGAGGTGACCTCTCCGAGGATGAGAAAAACCCCGAAAGAGGAGATCAACCTCTCGGCGAACCCTTCTTCTTAGCCACACCTAACCAATGATCCCCAATTATCCCAAAGGGTCAGGGGTAGTCCCAGAGGACGTCTTGCCGCATAAGGGACAGGGGTAGTTCAAGAGAACGCCCTGTCGCAAACATTGCCGAGTCTCAGGGACCCCCTAGATCGTGCCACCTCGACCCGGGTATAGGCTAGTTTAACCGAAGAGTGAATTTATCTCCACTCACCGTCCTCGGGATCGGGTCCTTTGTTCGGACTCCATTACGCCCATGGTTCTGGTACGTAGATCCCGGAAAGCTCCGAACCCGCAAGTGTTCTGGGACTCATTAATGGAGTGACTTCTAGATTGCGTCTGAATCCGTTCGAAGTCAAATGCTCCGGATCTCTAGGTTCGTGGATTCGAACCCTTTCGAGTCCGAGTGCCTCGGATCTCTAGTCTTGCTCAATACCCTTTCGAGGCTTAGAGTGATTCAACCCGTTTGATGGTGATAAATCTGGGCCCACCCATCTTGGACTTGCGATAAATTCGGGCCCACCAACCTTGGACTATTGGGCCTAATTAATTTAATGGGCTCAAATTAGCTCCTCTTACACTTCTCATGTCACTTGATTATGTTTTGAAGAAATATAAACTCACTTTGAGTCAACTTGCCTCATAATTTGAAGTCAAAGTTTTTTTGGTTGAGAATTTGCCATGGTTTTGAGCAATTGGTTCTAAATTAACTATGTCTCCATGTTTTGTAATGTTTTCCCATGTTTTTGTACCTAAAACATGAGTTTGGAACCTTTGAATACCAAATTTGAACTTCAAACACAGTTTTGGAAATTCTAGAATTCAGCCTGTTCGCTCGAGCCAAGAA